TAGATAGCGGAAGTCGAGGGCATGACACGTGAGGAGTATCCGAGATGGCTAACCGCAGAAGACTTCGAGGACGGAGTATAGTTTAAGTGGGGGAGAGTTGTACCACCAAAAATCCAGAAGGCTAATTAAAGGAAGAAAACCCCAAGTAAAAAAGGTCTACTCGCCGAGTCCAAGGGGGTGACTCGACGGGTATAAGCAAGATCAGGACGCGGGTAGGAAGGACCTACTCAACGAGTCGGGAAGACCTACTCGACGAGTTGTTCAGGGTTTGAGAAACCCTAAATCCGGGTTTGTGTCTCCTATTTAAGCATCTTATTCTCCACCTTTCAGCCCCATTCTCAGCCCCCACTGTCCAAACCCTATATCTCTAACCCTAATGCTATAGTGAGCCATTATTGAGTGTTCTTGAGTGCTTTGAAGCTTGAATAAGAAGGAGAAGCTTGGGGGATTCAAGGAAAGGCTTGTAGATCCAGAAATAACATTTCATCCTCTTCATTTTCTGGTAAGCAAGTCTCAACCTTGCTTAATAGCTTGATAGATCTCTTCTTTGTCACTTTATGGGGTTTTTGGTCCAAGGAACTTGATTCTTGGGTTATGGATGTCCCAAGCAAGGATCCATTCAGATCTAGAATCATTGAGGAGTGTTAAGGCATAAAGGTGCAAACTTTATGCCATTGAAGTCCCCATGCAAGCTCTAAGGTGTTAGTTTGGCCTTGATAAGCCCAAAAGGCAACATATGGAAGGAAAGCCTGAGACTTTATGTGCTCATATGGTGTCTAAGATCTGGACCTCGATTTTCATGCTTTGGTTTGAAGTAATATGAGTTTTGAGACAAAGACTTATGTCTTAAGGAGCTAGGGTTTGAGCTAAACCCATTAAGAAGGACTAGTAATGGGTAAAGTTGGAAACTTTACCCTTAAGAGATCATTTCCAGCATGTAGATGAAGTTTGGGACTTAGATCTGAAGTGTAGGGGCTTAATCCCTTAAGATAGCCCAAACAGACTGACGGACTCGGCGAGTCCAGGGAGGAACTCGACGAGCCGAAGTCAGTTGTTCCATTTTCTGTTCTGGTAGAACTCGACGAGTCTGAGGAATGACTCGATGAGTTGATGTGATAAGTCGCGACCATGAGTAGTCAGGGAACTCGGTGAGTCAGGGGTTGACTCGACGAGTTGGATCGTGAATTCAGGAATATGAGTTTTAGAACTCGACGAGTTGATGGAGCAACTCGGCGAGTTGAGTAAACTCTGAGCGTTGACTTTGACCATTGACTTTGACTTTGACAAAGGTTGACCTAGTTTGACTTTTGAGGGTATTTTGGTCTAAGTGTTATTTTGGTACTGATAGCTCGGGGAGCCGAAGGAGTAGCAGTTCGGGGAATTGCCAGTTAGCAGCCAGAAGAGCATCAGCAGGGCTTCAGCAGTGCAAGGTGAGTCTCCTCATTGTGTGCATGGGTCTACGGCCACAATGCCAGCCCATTTAGTTTATGTATGGTAGGAAGACCCGGGGGTTAGCCCTAGGCATTGTATGTTAGTATGTAATTCCGGACCAAGGTCCGATGTCGGGCGGTGTCCGAGGAAGGTTTATGTGTATGTTATTCCGGACCAAGGTCCGATGCCGGGTGGTACCCGAGGAATGTTTGCATGTTAGATTATACTTGTTGTCTGTGTGATACTTGTATGTGCCTGGTAGGGAGGTGAGTGTGGGCGAGGTCCCGTATCTCATCACTAGCTGAGTATGGACGGGATTCCATATCTCATCATTAGCAGAGCAGGAGCGGGACCCGTGGTAGAAGAGAAGTGAGTGTGGGTGGGGGCCCGTATCTCACTTTCAGCAGGAGCGTGGACGGGGTTCCATGACTCATCAGTAGTAGGAAATGGGCGAGGCCCAAGTTAGGCGAGGCCTTAGAACAGGAATACATTAGAGTATGTTTATTTATGTGCTAGTATGTTTATGTGATTGTATGTGGATAGCGGGCGAGGCCCAGAGACAAGCGGGGCCTAAGAGAAACAGATATGTATACCGAGCGGGGCTCGATGCCAGGCGGGGCCTGATGCCGGAGCGAGTCCGATGTCGGTCAAGTCGTGATGCAGTGGACGGGGGCCCAATATGTGGTTATGTGTATGGTATGTGGTAGGTTAGGAAAACTCACTAAACTTCGTGTTTACGGTTTTCAGTTTTGGTTTTAGGTACTTCTGGTAGCGAAGGGAAGAGCTCGGGATGACTGCATTGCACACCCCAAGAAGTTTTAGCCTGGGATGTTTTACTCTAATATAATGAACATGTGTTTTGAAATGATACTCTGATTTGATATGATTTTGAATGAATGATTTAATACCTATGGTTTATGTAAAGATTTTTAAATGAAATTTTTGGACTGTATTTTTGGGATGTTTCAACTTGATCCTATTAATGTTATGCCATTAACTTTTTAGAGATTGCCTAACTTTTTCATTATATCAAAAGCAATAAATTCTACTAAATTTGATCAAACAAAAGCAAAATGGATAATAACAGAATCTATAAACTAAAAAATTTGTTGATAAACAATAGGAACTAGAAAACATATGCAATAGTTGAAAGTGAAATCATTGGTGAATTGTGAAAAGTGTTATAGCAAACCAAACAAAAGTAACATGAACATTCACCTGTGAATTGAAACTTCTTGGGAAGCTGCAGCTACACTTTATCGTGTTGTCTGGGAATCACGATTTCTATGATTTTTGCCCTTTGAAATCTTTTTTTAACTGTCTATGATTTGAAATCGTTTTTTTTAACTTTCTGTGAATTGAAATCATTTTTTTTCCAACTCTCTGAATTGAAATCGGTTTTTTCTGGGAATTACAATAAGTTGAAATTCCGATTTCTTTGAAATCGTTTTTGTGATCGTATGGAATTTTTTTTTTCGTTCAAAATCTCATGGAGTATGGAAGCAACGTCGATCATGGAACAAAAAGAATTGTGCAATTGAATTCGCCAGTGAATAATTGCCCACGTATTGAAATTGTTTTTTTTTTCATAAAATTAAATCACTAATCAAAACTACGTAGTTTTAATGAATGGGTACTTAATCTTATATACCCTTAAGGGTATATATATATATATATATATATATATATATATATATATATATAACAAATATCACAGGTTTATTGAAATTTATAACAAAATAGATGAATATCAATAACAATTATGATTTTTCTTTTAAAAAAATCAAAATTGTCGAGTTTTTCCGAATTTTTTTTCTTGTTTTTCTGAGTTTGCCTGATTTTCTATGAGTTTTACCAAATGGAGCCGAGTTTGACCGATTTTGATCGAGTTTGACTGATTTCGAGTATTTTTGGTCGATTCCTAATTAGGCGCCTCGAGACATGTCTGAGTGAGTACTCGGACGCCTAGGCTGAATTTTGCAACATTGGTCATATTCAAGTTCATGAGATGCGTTGTGATTAGGGATGAGCTTTAGAACCGGACCGGTTCGGAACCGCAACCGGTTTCCTATATTATAAGAACCGGGAACCGGTTTTCCGATTATTTTTCAAACTAGAACCGGTTGAAATGTTGTAGACGATATGCTATCTTTCAGAGCTTGTAAATGATTCAATATTTAACGAAATTATGACTTTTTACATTCTAAATTGAAGTACAAACACTAAATTACATGATGAAAAAAGAATCAAGTAATTCCGACTTCATATGAGTGAGTTATGCGCATTTTAAAAGCGGGACAGATTAAAAAAAATGTTGAAACAAAAAATACGCAACATTGATATGTTGTCTTCCGGGGTCTATTGCTTATTCAATGTCTAACCAAAATATGTGTTTGTACAGTCTAAAATGAAGTACAAACACCAAATTAAATGCTAGAAAAAAATGAAGTAATTCCGACGTCATATTAATAAGTTATGCACATTTAAAAAAATGAACAAATTCAAAAAAACAAAAAAAGTGCTGAAATAGAAAAAACGCAGCATCAATATTCTTTCTTTCGGGGCATGTGTCTGATTCAATATCTAACCAAAATACATGTTTGTACTGTAAAAAATAAATTACAAACTCCAAATAACATGTTGGAAAAAAAATCAACTAATTACGACTTCATATGAGTGAGTTATTCACATTTTAAAAAACGGAAAAAATGTCAAACCAGTTCCGGTTTTTAGAACCGGGACCGGTTTTCATAAAAATAGAGAACCGGTAACCGGACCTTATTTCCAACTACGGTTCCGATTCCGGTTCCGATTCTGGTTCCGGTTCTGACGATTTTAATGCTCATCCCTAGTTGTGATACACATAAAGTCCTGGCATAAACACATATTCACAGTTAACATCCACAATTAAGAATCTTGCATTTGAGGACATTTCAGGAAAAAAAAAACAAAAAAAAAACAAAACAAAAAAAAAACTAAGACCGAGAAAAGAAAAATAACTCACACCGTAACAAAGAAATCTGTAATGAATCCTAAAAAAGAAATCACTAACACACCCTAACACCCTAACGTAAGTATAAATAAATCAAGTGTAACAAACAACATAATACAAACCTCAAAGTAGTGGTGGAATCCTAGACTACTCTTTTTTGCTTGACAAAATTGAAAAAATAGTCCCTGTGGTATGCAAATTTTTGGGGTTTTAGTCCAAACCCCGAGTTTTTTGGATTCATGGTCCTTTTGGAGTGGTTTGTATGTGAAAATAGTCCCTCCGAAAATTGAAATGACTATAATAATACCCTTGGGGTATTTATTTTTCATTTTTCTTAAAATTTAATATTTATTTATTTATTTTAACAACTAAAAAAATAAAAAGGGGCCCACCTCTCTCTCCCTCTCTCTCTCTCTCTCTCTTTCTCTCTCTCTCTCTCTCGCTCTCTCTCTCAGTGTGTATTCTACTGTATGAAAAATATTTCCCCATTTCTTCATCTTCTTGGTTCCAATTATCCACCAGGCATGGCTACCCAAGCTTCCCTCTTTGCACTCGTAATCCCCAATCAAACCTCCCTATGGAAACAATCGTAACCCATCTCCTTCAACAACATCAAACCATACAAAACCACCACCGTTTGACCACCATCAAGGTTGCGGCGACAGGGGAGGTACCCACCAAAGAAGGTCCGATGGGATTCATCCCACCCGAACTCAACCCCAACATCTCATCTCCAATCTTCGCCGGAAGCACCGACGGGCTGCTAAGAAAAGGATTTATGGGTTTTTGGTTGACAAATTTTCTAGGTTTTATTTTAGATTTCCTGATTTTGGGATGGTCGTCACTACCATCTACATCCCCTGTTCTTGACTTCAACTCACAAATCAGAAATCAAGGTAGAGAGATATCTCTTTAGTGTTATGGAGTTCTTAGGCTATTAGAAAGAACATGCACACAAGACACTTGATGCAAAGAAGAGGGATGTGTTTTGTGCTTTTCTAATTATGCCATTCGTTTGTAAAAGAGGAGTAATCAGGTTCTTTTGGGGTTTTTGTTCGTTTGCAACCCAAACAACATGAAATCGCATTTAGATTGGTTTAAATCATTTATGAACTCACTATTTTTGATAATCAAGAACATGTCTTTGATAATCAAGAACAACTGAACTCATTTGGGGTTTCAGTTCTTGTTGTTACTTGTTAGCCTTATGCAATTAAACATAGAATCAACACAATTTCTTTAGTGAAATCCCATATGGACATGGTGAATAACTGATGAGTACTATAAGGTGAACTTGATGATTGGATGATGTTTGCTAGCTTAAAACAGTGGTCAAGATGGCGATGATGGTAGACCAGGTGGTGATTTTTGGTGGTTAAGATGGTGATGAAGCTGGGTAATTTTGGTCTCCCTGAACACTAGTGAAGATCGCGATTAGGATTTTCCTCCGACTAGAGAAGATGAACTTGGGATTGTGCCTAGTAGGAATGAAGTCGTGGAGAGAGAGAGAGAGAGAGAGAGAGAGAGAGAGAGAGAGAGAGAGAGAGAGAGAGAGAGAGAGAGAGAGGTGGGCCCCTTTTTATTTTTTTAATTGTTAAAATAAATAAATAAATATTAAATTTTAAGAAAAATGAAAGAAAAATGAAAAATAAATACCCCAAGGGTATTATAGTCATTCCAATTTTCGGAGGGACTATTTTCACATACAAACCACTCCAAAAGGACCATGAATCCAAAAAACTCTAGGGTTTGGACCAAAACCCCAAAAATTTGCATACCACAGGTACCATTTTTGCAGTTTTGTCTTTTTGCTTTGATGAATCAGGAAGAAAATGACGAATGAATTAAACACGATGGGGGAAAGAAAATCGTATAAGTTTTAGGGTTAAAAAGGTGACGTGGCTATTTTAGTTTGTGTAATTTGTGACACAGAGTGCAGTTAGTGCACACAGGACAGGAAACCGCTTATACATGGTTAAAACCAATAAACCATAGTCAACAGTCAAATAAAACCACACAAATAGTTTGAAGATTAATTCGACACAAATAAGAAAAAGGTTCTCATTTTAAGATATTTTTCCTTAAGTATATATCCGAAAACCACCGATACACATCAACATTGTCGGTGTGCCCTTCAACCTTTAAATAGGGATATCAAAAAGTCTCTCCGTTCCTGTGAAACCCCGATCCGGTATTTGTTTAAAAAAAAATAGGGGCGGGGACGGAGGCATGGTTAACCCACGTTTTCACTTCGGGGGCAGGGGTCGAGGTGGACAGTCTCGTCCCGAAACCTCCATGGGGTCCCCGTGAAGATATATTATATATATTTATATAAATATAATAAATAATAACATGATTTTGAGCTAACAAAATTCAAAAAAATCATGTTTATTAAGTTTTTAGTATAATGTTTTTGAGATATAATAAAATTTTTATTTTTAACATATAAAATTTTGTTATAAATAACTATTTCTTATCCAAAAAAAATAGCTTCTTTTAGCGCAAAAAAAAAAACAACCCAAAATCAATCGGAAACGGGGAACGCGGGTGTGGGTAATCCAGGAATTTAGGGGCGGGGCGCGGGAGTGGGAAGACTAGATCGGGGACGAGGCGAGAGCGAGGGATATAATCCCGGTCCCACTTGTCCCCATTGACAAACCTACCTCTAAAAGCAGATCGGTAATCACAATAATGAGAATTTGCTATTTTTGTTAGTCTTGTAATTAAAAATTAAAAATAATGTCAAAGTTTCATTTCTATCTTTGGGATTTTGTATAGGCCTGACAATTATGTCGTGTTCGGGTTGGCCTGTCGCGGGTTGACAGGTTGACAGGTCAAAATATGCCAACCCAAACACGACCCATTTAAATATACAAGTCACGGGTTGGCGGGTCACGAGTTGGCGGATTTGGAACATAAACTCATATATGACCCGCCAACCAATTTATTTATACGGGTTCACAGGTTGGCGGGTTCGTGGGTCAGATTTGGGTTCGTGGGTCAGATTTCATAAATAAAATTGACAACTAAATATGAATAAATTATTGACGGTTGATGCAAAAATATCCGAATTTTAGACACTTAACTACTTAGGTCTTAAACATCCAAATGAAAATTAAAAACATTCATAGAAACATGTTCAAACTAAACATTAATACAAACATAGATAATTCAAAGGTCATCCACCACGAGTAAAAATGTCAAAACAATCAAATGGTCTATGAATCAATGGTATATTATATAATACTTATTAAATATTAATATTTGATACATAAATACATTTTAAAATAAAAAATATATTTTTTTTATTAAAAATATAAACGGGTTGGCGGGTCAACCCGTTTATTTTTTGAGAAACTCATATATGACCCGTTTAATAAACGGGTTGACGGGTTGAAAAAATCAACTCAAACCCATTTATTTCGTGTCGTGTCGAGAATTGTCAGCCACAATTTTGTATATCTTTAACTTGTAACCTTTAAAATCGTATTAAGATATGCGAGTTTGATGACAAATATGGAAATATTGTTTCTTTATATATTTTTACCATATCGTTTCGGCAGTTTATTCGAACATAATTATAAAACTATCATTTGATTTTATATTAATTTAAGTTATCTTTTAAAAAAAAAGGTTTTTATATGTGTTTAACAACAAAAATAGTTTTAAAAAAAATATAAATATATGAAATAATATAAGAGTATCTTTGACACATCACAACTAACTTATAAACCAACTTATTTTTCAAGTTGTCATATTTTTGACAAACTCAATTTTTTTTTTTGTAAACCTATTCAGATTAACGATGTCAACGAGCATTTTTATAATTCCTTCAAATATATCATTATCTTTCTCTTCTAATAAATGAATAGGTTTATTCTTCTATTGAAAAGTGGCATACTATTAGAACTTTTCATTAATATTATATGCCACCTATTATGCCACTTGTCAACCTATTAATTATCAATTTCAAATTTTAAATTAATAATTTCTCACTCTAATTACATTAAATTAATAATTGATTCTCCATTTTAAATTTCAAATTTTAAAATTTTTCACTCTAATTATATTAAATTAATAACATTAAATTAAAAATTAAAATAAAATTAATATAGATTATAAGGTGATATAACTTTACGTATTTATTTAAATCAACGATTATAATTATATATTAGTAAAAAAATATTTCTTAAATAATAATTTATTTAAAATAATTGATTAATAATTTTGATTTTTTAATATGAAAGTTTAATTAATTTTATAACCATGGTTATCACAGGTTATAAACTAGTTAATTATAAAGAAACCTAATATTCTACATAAAGTTTTGAGAAATTAAATACTCTCGTACTCATCTTTCTACCCATGTAAAATTATGACAAGTGTCTTAAAATATTATTATTATTTATCAAAATGTGAACCTTGTCATCATTTTATATGGGTAAGAAGATAAATAAGAATAAAAAGTAGGATAATATTTAATTTCTATAAAATTTTATGTCAATTTACATATTTTTAGCTAGATTACTAGCTATTCCGATTAACATGTCAACGAACATTTTTACATTTTTTTTCTTGCTGGTACGAGGTTTCTTATATAATTTTGCAAGCATAACATATATGTTTAGAAACAAGATAAGAAATATAATGGTTGTAAGTACTAATAATTTTATACTATTTCTGACATTTGATGTAAAATGGTTTCCAAAAATTTCATATATTAAAGCCGAATCATAAATAGTACACGATGTGAAGAGCGCGTGCAAGCCGCGAGACATTTTTTTTGTATAATTTCGTTATTTCTCTATATGTATCAAATCTTAATACCCTAACTCTTCGCCATATAAAAGATTATAACATGCTCCCTTTCTCATCGCCGGCCCTCAAAGAGTTTTTCCCCTAAAGTTGAAGTTGTTTCGACTTTGTGCGCTCAAGATCTTGAAATCTAAACAACTTTGTGCGCTTAAGATCTTGAAATCCAAGATCTCAAATTGTGTTCAAAACCAACATAATGAGAAATCGGAAGCCCCGCATACCCCTTCGAGTTCATCAATATGGAGGATCTAGGTAAATATGTTACTCGATTCTAGATATATCATTCTTGTATTAGATTTTTAACATCTTATATTTACTTTAAGTCAAAACATTCAAAAATAAATAAAGTACTGATAAACTTGTATTTGAGTTTTATTATTCTTGTATATGTCGGATCAATTCAGATCTGAAATTTCAATGCATCTGATCTAAGATTTTATTGAACCGATATGTAGAAACGAAATATTAATACATAAAATCTATGGTTTCACAAAACCACACATGATTTTTCATATGATTTGATATTAATTTCTTATTTTTACATGTTCATTTAGACTATGTGTGCTCAAAGTAATCATGGTGATTTTAAGGATTATTATCAAATAATCAATCGAGTAAAGTTAAATTACATAATTTTATAAATATTTTACGGCTCTTCTTATAGGGTACAATGGTCAATTACGAATGATAATAAGACTAGAGAATAAAAATCTTCAGGCATAAATAAATTTTGTACATATAAATTGCCATCACTTTATACAAATGGGTCACACTAGCGCAAGTTAGCACAGCCAACTCTTCATAGTTCAGACGACAATATTCAGTAATTGATTGACGAACGCAGTCCCAATCATATATATAAAACCCAAGAGAAATCCATATTTCTCAACTCAACTCAGTCACTCACCGGCGTCTCACGATTGATTATCAATCAACATTTGCTTAACCAAGTTTACTCCATTTAGTCACTAGCGATTTCCCAACTATATCGTCGCTAGTTCAAGGTAATTTGTTCCAAGTTTCGCCTTCTTCTCGTTAGTAATTTCTGAAAATTTCGTCAGTTGTATGTTTGTTTCTTGTTTTCGATCAGAAATCTAGGGCTTAGATTGTTGAATTTCGAAGAATCGTAAAATAATATTATTAAAATGTATATTTGTTTTTAATGTTCTGTTTTCTGTTTTCTGTTCTTCCCTTTCAGTTCCGGTTCGAAAAATGTAGCAATGAAGTCTGCAAGGGAGGATGAACCATGCAAGAAGAAACCAGTGAGTAACGAGTACAATTTTTGAAGTTTATTTTTTCTTAACATGAATGGATATTTTCATACGATATATGACGTACAGTTTTTAATGAATTGCTCATATATATATATATATATATATATATTTACGCTAATACCCCTGTATATATATATATATATATATATATATATATATATATATATTTACGCTAATACCCCTGGCTTAAATAGGTATCACAATCTCATTAGTCATTTCTGGTCCTTTAGAAGGTTACTTTGTAGGAAATTTATCTAAACTTTATATTAATAGAGTGCTCATATGGAATGCTTTGATTTGCAGGCTATTGATTTGGTTTCAGCTGTTGAACAGTTTCATAAACTAAGCTGTTCGGATCTAAGCCAGCTAATGAGGGATTCTGAAAATGGCCCCATTCGATATGCTAAAAGCAATGGATCATTGTTTGAGGTTACTACATTTTACAATTTACATTCACTCAATCATGTATTTATTAATCAAAATTTTCACCTCAGTTAGTTATTAGTTATTGCATGCTGACTGTGATTAACCTTGACATGGTCAGATATACATGGAAAGTCTAGCAAGAAATCTTCCTGTGCACCTTATTTCAAAGCTTCTATTATTTAAACGAGATGAACAGCATCTCAAATACTTATTATCCGGGGTACGATTATTTCATGGTTTGCATGATATTGCTTATAGCCATTCAAAACTTAGGCAGGTTGGTGAATTTCTTATTTCTTGTTCAATTTTTCTTTATCCTGTACATTCCAGTAGTAACTGATTTTTCCTGCTGCAGCTTCTGTTTGAAGATTCGAGTTCATCAGAATGTGTTCTTGATTTGATATTTTTCATCACTGTTTTTCTTAGCAACTTTAAGCAGGTTAACTCTGCCCTCTTCGCATTTTATTTTCACACAACATTGTCATTTTGGCACTGAAATTTAACTTTGGTGATACAGAAACTTAATCCTCCAAGCAATAATGAGGTTCTTTATCACTCGACATTATTGGCTAGCACTTTGTATCTCTTTAAAGCATGTATATCTTCACAGTGGCATGACATTACCAGGGTTATACTTGTACACCCTAAGGTAACATTTTTTTATGAGTCGTTGATTTATGATTCGTTAATTATATTTTCGGTTTTTAATTATCTATTGAAATTATTTGTCAGGTTGATGTATTTACGGGTGTAGCTTTCCCCTCTGTCGGTGTGGTTATTAATTTTCTTCAAGTGAAGCTTTCAGCTCAACATACTGACACTTACAATGCTGATGAAGTCTACAGTTTCTGCCTGCATTGTGAGGCTTCTCTACAGTTTATTCACTCACTTTGTCAGCAAAAACTGTTTCGTGAATGCGTTGTTAAGAATAAGGTTTTACTCTTTAAATCCTTATCTGTAATTGTATCCATCTTCCAGTTACTTATAACATGCCAATACTCATTGTATTCTTCTCCAGGATCTTCGCAAAGAAGGTGGTGTTCTTTGGTTGGTTCAAGACGTAATGAAACTTCCACAATGCAAAGACTCTCATCTTATGGTGCTGGTTTCTAGGCTAAAATCAAAGATTTTATCAATTGTAAGTTCTGATTGTAGACCATGATCTTATGTTTACTTTATTAAAGGAATTTTAATAGCTATAAATCCTCTTTCTTCAGATGCTGCAACTTTGTGAAGTGGAAAGCATTTCTTTCTTGGATTTGGCTGCAAGCACCACTGAAGGCTTGGATTTAGCTAAGTCTACTATATCTGAGGTGTGAAAATGAGGTTTATTTAAGACATTATCATAATAATAACCAATTTAGGTTGCATGATGTTTATACACATTGGATAATGTGTAGGTCCTTGAATTGCTAAATATCATGTTTTGTGGAGGTGTCAATGGTGTTTCTGCTTACAATCCAAGGGGGATTTTGCAACTAAATGCAATGCGACTAGTTGAAATAGTCTCTGATGATTCTAATTTCCGATCTTACATAGTCTCAAATTTTGTAAGCGTTGATCTCCTTTTTTTTTTATTATTATTTACATTTACTTTTCTGTGATTCATTGAATTTGCAATTGTTGTTGTATCACATGTGAATGCAGACAGAGGTTTTGACAAGAGTGTTTTTGGTACCACATGGAGAATTCTTGTCTAGTTGGTGTTCCTCTGATTCTAAGGCTGCTGAAGGGGATATTACTCTGAATTTATGATTCCTATTCAGCATCTGGACAGGTTTTGGGTGTGAGGTCTATGCATACATCACATGCTTCAAAACCTATTTTCATTACTAACTCCCGTGCTTCTCAGACCTCCTATCCCTTTGCACATCAAAAAACATCTTTACTGGTCAAAATTGTAGCTAATCTCACCTGTTTTGTTCCAGATCTCTGTAAAGGTAAAAATAAAATAAAATAGCCAATTTAGCTTTACATATATATATATATATATATATATATATATATATATATATATATATGCATATGTCACTTTCTTTGTCTAATTATATTTATTGTTTTGATAATTGATCCACAGAGGAGAAGGATCTCTTCCTTAACAAGTTTTTTCAGTGCTTGCAAAAGGAACGTTCTAACTTACCAGATGGAGTTGCACATGGTGGCGGTGCTAAAAGAGCAGCTGCAAACCTGAGTATATATCAATTTCAACAATTCCTTTAGCTTTGGTTGATAAGAAACACATGCTTTTGTTTTGCTTATATAACATATTATTTGTATGTTGCAGGTTCCTTATTGATTCATGCTGGATCTTTGACTATTTCTAGATACCTTAATAAAGATGATGTTAAACTCCTTAGGTAATTGCTTTAATTTAAACTACTGAAGTCAACCTTTGACTCCAGACTCACAATTTGTTTTTAATTAGAACATCGAAGGGTATGTCTGTATGTTAAAAACATCACAAGTCGCTTGATTTTTTATTTTTTTTGGTCTTCTGCTCATGTAGGTTGTTTGTTATGCAATTGGAGGAACTAATTAGTCGTCAAGAATCCAATATCCACCAAGTCAAGGTGCAACGGTTGACTCTCATCAACACAAAATATATACTCGTTATTTATTTATTTATTAAGACATACATGATTGTGATTGTAGGAGGTTCATAATAGATCTATACCTCAAAGATCAACTCCAGATGGGTGCAAGCGAAACGAAGGGAGTGGTGCTTTAAGGGGAGTGGATGAGAGTGAGAGAGATGCTACAAACATTGAAACAATCGGATCATATTTATCCAATATGCAGTTAAAGAATAGAAGGAACGATGTTGAAGAAGTTCCAGAAGAGGAAACTTTTAGAAGTTTGCAGCTAAAGAAAAGGAAGCGCAACATAATGAATGATGTGCAAATATCCATGATTGAGAATGCTTTACGTGATGACCCTAATATGCAGCGGAGAGCCGCCTCTGTACAACTTTGGGCTGATAAATTGAGTCTTCATGTATGTAAGATTTGCATATTGTCAATTCATTTGAACTCGTCTGTAATAATTCATTTCCTCTAAAATTGTATAATTTTCTTTTACAGGGTTCAGAAATCACTTCTTCCCAGCTAAAAAATTGGTAAGAAAGCCGTGGTCTTTTTGCTTACAAAACGTGAAAAACTCCAAAACCAGAAGAAGAAGAAAAAAAAAAAAAAACACAACCACAGGCTATATATATGACAATTTTTTACAATCACATAGGCTGATATAATTACACGGACACTCTCCAAAGATTTAATGTCTAAACTCAAAACAAGAGGATATCTAATTTGAAACCAAAGGCTTGGACTCCTTTTATAGAATGTGGGACAGTGTTGTTAAATACGGTTTTTGCTTTGATGTTCCTTCAGGTTAAATAATCGGAAAGCGAAAGTAGCACGTGCAGCTGCTAAGAATACTCCTGTAGGTGTAGGTGTAGGTGTAGGTTTGTCAGGTGGTGGGTCGGTAGCAGATCATGTCTCTGACTCACCCGGGAGTCCTGCTGATGAGCCATCTTCATATGAACCTGACCACACCCAGCAGAAAGATGTGTTGAGGAGTTGTTTTAGGCTACAGAATGGACAACATGTTGTCCTGTTTGATGGGAAAGGAGAAGAGATTGGGAAGGGAATCATACATCTTGCAAAAGGGATATGGTTTGAAACAAATTTGCAGAAATCCGGGCTGTGTGTTGTGGATGTTACATATCTCAAAGTCGATGAAAACACTCATCTCCCACACCCTTGTGATGCTACTGGCAACTCATATGCTGAGGCGCAAATGACATTTGGAAGAAAAAGGATACTCTGGGACTCCTCCAAACTTCTCTTCATCCACCACTTGCACAATTAAACTCTCTCTCTCTCTCTCTCTCTCTCCTCTCTCTCTCTCTCTTAGTTTAGTTTGAGTTGGCATCTTAAAAACCAAACATGCATTATTGTGCATACATACCTCACCAAATCGCATTGCTTTTGTTAAGACTAATTATCAAAGTATGAAACTTAACATGCATATCATATCATATTCATATATATGTTTCTTCAAAGGTTTTAGGAAAATGTTGGAAATTAGAGTATGTTTATGTTTGAGGTTTAAAATCCCAAACTGACCCCGACAAAATTTCAATAACAGAGCGGTTCATCTGCATCAACTTTCATTTCTATCTATTACTTCTATATTATAGTATATCTTCAGTTTACACCCCTTTTGACATATTTAATACAAATTATAATATTATTTTTATAAATTTTACCATTGACGTGTTGAAAATATGACCAATGTTCTATGTTGTTTTTATTATAAATTTTAATTTTAGTTTTATAAAAAGGCAAGAATGTTTTGTCATTTTCTTTAATTATATTAAAAATACTACTTTTCACAAAAAAAATTGCTTTTGTTTTATAATTTTAATAACTTGTAGGTCAAATATATAAATAAGTATGTCGGATAAATTTCAAACTTTTTATAAATAGTAAACCCACTTTTTCCTCGTGAGAAAGGTTTATAAACATGGGCCACTTCATAACTTAATTATGATTACTTGAGAGTCAAGCACTCCAAAAAAAGTTGTCACAAATCTGAATCACATCATCTTCAACTTTAAGTAACATGCTGTTTAAAAAGAAGATTGCATGAAGTTTTGACTCCACTAATTAAGCAACCCAGAATCTTGGACAATTTCAATGATGTTCCTATGCATTGGTACCTGAACCAATATTTTCAATTTTTTATTGGTTTATTAGCAACCTTAACCAACCCAATCTTTAAATAAAAAATATTTTTTTTGTATTACTAACAAGTAGAAAAATGTTTTCGATCGCACTAGGACCGATTTTGAAGCAAAATGTGTACTAGGATTGGAAGATTTTACCCCCGATCCTATTTAATCCCATTAGTTTTTATTTTGTAGTCATATATTTAGTTTTCTATATCCTAGGAAATCCATGAAGTATGTTCACAGCCCTGGCGCAGAGCCTAAGAAATTGCCTATTTATAGCTTGAATTTTTTTTTTTTTTTGTCAAATCAAGTCAGAAATCGAGCATTGCATATTGTTGAAGCCTTGTAAAATAGGTCAGTCCCTTTGGTCTATATTTTTAGTATATTTATAAGACATTGATTTGAAATGTTTATGAAGTTGATAGGACATTCATGTCATTACTAGTCGGGTACTCACGTTTTAGATCTACAAATCATTCAGCATGACTGTTACAGAATCTATGCTTATTTGCAAAGTTATTTATTTATTTTTTCTTCAAAAAGTGGAAAAGTAAAGGTGGACGTGTTAGGGACAACATGAAGAATTCATCTATAAAATGAGTCAGTCTCTCATAAAACATTAAAAAAAATATAAACACAAGGCAACTTATGAGTTATGTATGTTACAAGTTAAATAATACACAATACAACACCATTGAACCTCATCTTTCCTGAATCCTGAATGTAGAAACACCCAGCGACACCAAGAAAGGGATAGCAAAACTGTCTCGTATGAACAAAGCTATATATATATATATATATATATATATATATATATATATATATATATATAATTTTGTCCAATAAATAGTGTAAATAGCAAGAGTCTAAATATATGCAAGGGAGTTCCTGTCATGATTAGGCTGGGGACGGCCCCTGGTAGGAGTTGGGGGTCTTTGATTATTAAGCTCCTACAATTACAATTACAAATCAAGGATAGGATAAGTAAGTATCATTCAGTTGCTCTTTCTGTTTCGGTATTATTAATAAATACATGGAGTAAAAAAGGAAACAAGTTTAGTTTAGAATTTAGAAATTAGAAATTAGAAATTAGAATTTAGATTAATTACCTGCATCCAGGTGTCGTCTTGGACATGTTCTGGAGAGTTTTCTGGCGAGTGAAGGGGAGGTGGCAACGGATGAATCAGTTTTGGAACAATCACCAGTCCTCTTCCAACCACTAGTAAAGCTCCAGCATTGTTTGCAGTTCCTGAATACAGCCATTTATTTAGACTGAGATTGTATACTATTGTAAGACAACATGTATTGCTTGGTTAGTGGTTACCACAATAGTTGGTTGCAGAGAAAAGGGTGATCAACTGGCCCTGAGCAAATCTTTCAAACCCATCCATCACGCATTCATGTGCTCTTATAATCAGCTGAAGTTTGTTTCTCTTACAAAAGTCTGTAACCCTATCAGGCTGCAACCAACTCAATACTTAATTAACTCATTCATGTCTGATCACATGGGATAAAATATTAAAAAAAAAAAATGCAATATGAATACCCCAAAAGTAACCAAACCAGGTCCCCTAGCATTTGGCCTTAAACCTTCCACACTATCATTCTCCGTAGGATCAGACCTGCACAATTTTTTCACTCTTTTAAATAATAATAATAAATCGGATTCCTTGGAAGTAAACGAATGGAATTCAGGGAACTTGCCATAAAAGATCCATTAAGATAAGAGATCCAGCATCCATAGTTATTGGTCTTTCTATTTTCTCAATCTGTTCAACCAAATGTATGGACCTCCCTATCCCACCATGCATGCAGATTATCTTCTTCTCAATCAATGCCGCCAGCGGAAGATGGTTAAATACCTGATTGAATCGCGTCCATGCCCATATCCCATCGTTCTCCCCCTATACATACATATATATATATATATATATATATATTATATATATATATATATATATATAATCATTCCATTCACATATCAAAAAAAAAAAAAAAAAAAAACAAATCAATTCCTTACCATTCTTTCTATGCATTCAAGACGAAACCCAAACAGCGCGTTTATATCCGCAGCCTCATGGTTCCCACGTATCAAATGGACATTCTCAGGATACTGAATCTGAATACATATAGATAAATAAATCATATCATATTTTGGTTGTAAGTTGTAACAACCAACTTGTAGTAAAGCATATACGGTACCTACCTTTAAGGCAAGAAGCAACGTGATAGTCTCCAAGCTATGTTGACCTCGGTCAACATAATCGCCAAGGAATAAATAGTCAATATATCTGAAGTGGAAGAAGGGTCAACACAATCTGAATTCAGTAAATGCTACAAGATTTTGAAAGAAAACAAATATTAATTAGAAAGTAAGGCAAAGCATATATGTAATAATATGTACGTTATGTCTCCAGCAGTAGAAGGAAATCCGTATTCATCAAAGAGGCGCATGAGATCACCAAACTGTCCGTGTAAATCACCAAACACTTTGATTGGAGCTTTCAACTGAAGAACCGTAGGCTCGTGTAAAAAAATCTGTTCAGCAGCGTAGCAAAGCTCTCCTACTTCATATGAATCAAGGAAAAACCTTCTGTTAACCGGAGGTTTCCAGTTTCGAGGCCTAAGCAAATTAGATATCACCTGCAACAATGCAAATACATCATATCATAAGTTTTGCGAATATAGCCAAAATCAAATTTTCTTTTATTACCCATCCATCCCATACATACTGGCAACTAGCAGTTAGACTTTCTTGTGAAACTGAAAAGAAGTAGTTTGTAAACTTACTTTTTTGTGCAAGCCTTGAGGTGACTTTTGCCTAGTGAACTTTTTGGTTGGATAGGAAAGGTCGTTTTGGGTAGGAATCATTCGTCTACTCTCGTTTTCAAATTGATCCAAGGATAACTGCCTCACCAATCCACCTAGGTTTCCTACCGTCTCTTTAGCAACTACAACCTGCATCATATCATATTAATAATAATAACAACGCTTCTTTATCATAAAAAATAACACCCATGTATTTTTAGAAAAAAAAAAAAAAGAAGGAAGACATACAGCTCTAGGGTGAAGCCTAACATCTCCCTCTGTATCAGCAGGCTCTGAAGCATGTGAGTCGTCTGAAAGGGGTAAGTTGTTGTCTTGATTTGCAGCTTGCTGTGATTGGGCGTGTGCCTGTGCAGCTTGCCAGACAGCATTCACAGCCTTGGCTTCCTGAGCAGAAGCTTCTGCCAGCCTCTCCATAGATTCTCTACTGAAAAACATAAATATGCATATACTAAGCCGGAATGGAATCAGCAAGGTTAAGAAATGGATCTTTACAAACCACTATCAGGTTTGGTTGGCTTCAAATAAATAAAGAACAAAATGTATTTTATAAATTAAAGATATATCGCTAAATAAACATATTTAACTTCTTTGGAAAATATACAATATGAATTTCAAATCAAATAGTTGAAAATAATACTTCACATTAGTCAAGGGGTGGGTTCTTTTTCATTCCATCATGCACATGGAATGGAATTTTGTAACATACTAACATAACCATTTTTATTTATGTAACTTATAATCACAAAAATCTTTATTAAAGCCTTCATGATTTTAACTAAATAAAAATATTATTTTCTAAAATAAGCTAGAAAATATACTTTTATAGGGATTTTAATGAGATTCTATATGAATAATTTATTATTCCTGTAAATAGAAATTCATTAGCTATAATAAAATAAATGCAATGAATAGAGTTAGAACTATACATTGTATATTTCTATATAATAATAATAATAATAATAATAATAATAATAACTCATTAAAGACCAACCAAACACGGTCATGGAATGTAGTGATGTATTCCATCACCTTGCTTATTCCATTCCATCCAACCAAACAGATCCTAAATTTCAGCATATGGTAAAAGGAGAAACATGTCTGACCTTAAAGCACCAGATGAGGGGCTCTCTGGTCTACTATCAGGAGACATAGGATCAAATGGGCTTGAATTGTTTGTTCTTGGACTTGTCACATTTGAGGTGGTATCTGACTGAAGAGCCGAATTCTCTGCAATAAGAAAATCATCTAACAACACATCTCCACGAAGACCACCATAAATATATATACGAACACCAACAGATGAAGCTGCATGTCTACAACGCCGCATCAGCTCCAAAGCAGGGTCTTCACTTTGGGCCTTGTTGGGCCTTGAAGAAGTCACCATGCCATGTCTGTCTAACCAAACTCCAGCAGCAGTGTCCAATACTGTACACAATATTATCCAACCATGTTGCAAAACACTTATATTCAGATACATAGATACATATTTTGTTCATCATGATAAAAAAAGATTAACCTGCAACAGCTGATTCACCATCTACTGCTCGTCCTCCCCTAAGAACACCACCTGTAACGTGCAATCTAGCTCCAACAAAGACCTGATCACCAACAAATGAGTAGATTTTTTTAAAGAGAAAGACAATGGTAAATGGTAAATGGTGAATCAAATAAGAAACTAATACTTACCGCAGCATGTTGATACCTTGGTGAGGGGGAAACTCCAGGTGCAAGTGTCCATTCCCATTCACCATTTCTATGCATCAGCAATCCATAAGCATCTGCTAAAGGCTGCAAATCAACATACACAAACCGATTATAAGAAAAAACAGAATGCCATGTTTTGTTTATAAATTATAATTACAGTTGTGAATACAACTAAACAACAAACAATAAGGCATACCGTGCCTGAGATGTCTCTTCCACCACAAAGCAAGAACATACCATCTGAGCGGGCACTAGCAGTTGCATACCTGCAAAGTATACAACACTACCCTCTTTAAATAAATGGGATACCATATTCCTACAAATGAATGTAGGAACTTGTAAACGAATTAAAAGTATCTTCTAGCTACACACTAGAAGATTAAAAACTTTCAACAAGGTTAACAATAAGAAACAATATCAAAGGACCTTCAGAACTGGTACTAACTTGCATACTTACATTCTAGCAGAAGGTTTATCACCTTCCGGATTTAATCTCTGCCATGCATACGGTTTTTGAGCAGTATCCAAAGCCCAAGCATCTGAAAGCACTTTCTTTCCTAAAATAAAAGATGTTGCTATTATTGGTTTATGCCCTCTAATCTTGTTTTGTGTCTTGATGAAGAAAACGGTTGTAGTGATAGATGGTATAGTTAAGTGGGTGCATAGAGAGCAAAGAAAAACCTAGACATGAATGATGAATGATGAATCACACTCACCATCATTGCCACTAACAGTAACGAGGTATCGTTGGGCTACCAAGTCCATCACATGGCCATAACGAGGGCCAGGACCCTCCCCTCTAACAACAACCCTGCACTCACAAACATTTAAGAGAACTCATAAAAGCTTCACAAGACATGGATACAAATCCACATTTTGAATGAACATTGAACAAGTCAAGTTTACCGGTGCCATTTGTATTTGTCATTGGTCAAGTCAAGCACATAAAGATCATCTGTTGAATGCCCGGATGGACCTATCCCTCCCTAATGACCAAACACAAATTTATAAAAACTTTAAGCAAGAATTGTGTGTGATTTGATTTGATTGTAAATCAGCATTATAATCACCTGAAATACAACCATGGTTCCCACAGCAGCTGCCGCATGGGCAGCCCTAGGTGAAGGAGGCTCCCCAGCCGGTAGTATTCTGGAAAATTTTCACAAATTAACAATGGGATACTAAAGGGAATTGAATGCAAGAATAAAGTATAATGGAAGCAACCTGGTCCATTTCCTGGTAATAACATCATATACATGAACTGAATTTGTCACGCCATCCAACCCTAAAGTGTTAAAATCGAAAAAGCTCAATCAATTTGCAGCAATTAGAACCCCAATGGTATATAATAACCAACTAAGAAGTGATATTTACGGATGCCAGGGACAGCAGAGGACGGGCCACCTCCAATGGCGGTGGCGCCACCGAATAAGATAAGGCGAGGGCCTTGAGATTTGGTTGGTGCGACGGCAGTGAGAGTGTGGCCGCAGCGAGGACCAGGAGCATCATCCTCCGTGTCCCAGAAAGTCTCCAATGGAGAATAGGCGGGAGCTGGTTGTAGCCACGGTTTTGAACCCATAAAAACCAATAAATACCCCCAATTATATCACTCAGCCCAAAATGACTACAAGTTACCAACAATCAGAAATTCAACTGAATGTCTCCTGGTGATTGTAGAACGAATAGAATGGTTAAAAAAAAGGCTTGCAGCAGAAACCACCTCCTTGTCGCGGCGGTGAGGTGAGGTGGTGGATGCGACCTCGGCCGAGAGCTTTTGGCCTCTAACAGCTAAATTACTGGATGTGTATCATAGAAAATACATTGAAGAGAGCAGAATATTGGAGGAATTGACAACAGAAAACACTTGTAGTGATACTGAATTGGGATTATGTGGGATCGCACTAGAAAGAGGAACGCCGGGAAGACCGGAGATGGAAAAGTGGGCTTGAAAAAAGGAAGATCAGGAGTTCTTACGTGGTTTTACAAACTACGAAGCATGGTACTTGTTAAATAATAAAATGTTTATTAAAATGAGTATTAAAATACTATAATCGTATAATAAACGGCACATTTCATTTAGTTTTAACAATTCATATATTTTTGTAAATGACAACCTATTTTTCTTTTTTCTTTTTCAATTTCGACAACCAACGAAAGTAGTTATTTTTTGTGGAAAGTAGAAATTGGATAATCTTAAGCTTAAATATGTTAGGGTGTGTTTGGAAGTAAATTTTAAAAATGATTATTTAATATTGAATGACATAATCTAATGATTTATTGTAAAAGGAAATATTGCAAAAGATAATAATTACATATTATTTTCATGGTATAAAATACATGACAAATCTGATTAAAGGATAATATAAACTAAAGACAAAATAAGAATATGCACGTAATTTGATTCTATCTATTGATGGTATATTTTGTTGCAAGCTAGTGCCAAAAGTGAATATTCATTGTCACTTGAAGTTATGAGATCTTCCAGATTTTGATTATTCAAACAAATAACAGTAAACTAATGGTAAAATATCGATGTACACGTAATTATATTTAACTTATTGATAATTCTAAATTGATTATCTAATCTTAATATAAATTAAATTGATTTTAACTATGAATATAATGACTTGACATTATGGGTGTGTTTGACAAACGTTGGTTGAAAACTAAAAGTTAATAGCTAAAAGTTGTAGCTTTTATTTATGTAAAATTGTTTGGCAAAATAGTTTTTTTGGAAATGGAACTTCCCTAACGAGGGTTTCCGGGCCAGCTTTCGCGCACCGACTAATCCCCCGCTGCAAATATGAGGCTTTGCCTCATGCCCTGGAGTCACTGCAGGCGAACCTCCATGGCCACAAGGGCTAAGTGGTGTTAGAATTTGAACATGGGTCAATAGGTTATCTACCATATCTTCCACATGCCTTACCAAGTCACCACAACCCAAGTGGTTTAAGTTTGGCAAAATAGTTGTTAACTTTTTAATATGTAAAATGTAACACCCGGTTCCTGATAAGCATTCTTAAATGAAGATTTATCATTTTAGCAGAGGGACTCGACGAGTTAAGGGACCAACTCGTCGAGTAGGATCGGGCGTGGACGCGGTAGTTAAGTGACCTACTCGACGAGTCGGTATACCGACTCGGCGAGTAGCAGCTGTCTGGATGAAACCCTAAATTTGAGGGTTTGCACCCTATTTAAACATCTTATCCCAACCTCCATCGACCTTATCACTCCCAGAAAGCTGTATATCGAAACCCTAGCCGTTTTTGTGTGTTCCAAGGCCATTTTGGTGCATTTGGTGGATTGTGAAGCTTGAGAAGAAGAAAGAAGCTTGAGAGTTCGAGTTGAGGCTTGAAGATCCAGAGACTTTGGTCCATTTCCAGCTCAACCAAGGTAAAATGCCCCTGTCTTGATCTTCCATATGGTTATTCATCCTTAGGGCTTAGATTTTGGGTGCATTTAGGGCTTTCCAAGCCATTTTCGGATTTGTGGAGTGTTATATGGAGTCTTACCTTCAGATCTGAGTTATTGGAGGGGTCTCATGGCATAAAGGTGCCAACTTTAAGGCCATGAGAGCCCCATGCATCTTGTAGAACACCTTTTATGGCTTTTTGAGCCAAAGACCCCTTGCATGTGTACCAAGTTTGGAACTTTACGTATGAAATGGACACTAGGGGGCCAGATCTATGGTTTTGAGGTGTTAATACCCATTTAAATCGACTATATAGTAATGGTCATGGATGGGCTCGACGAGTCGCTATTGGGACTCGGCGAGTCGCGGTGTATTGACCACTAAATCCTTTCTGTGGATGGACCAGTTGTTAGGGAGGAAGTCTCGTGAATGTTTAGACACGAAAAGGGACCTGGGAATCATGGGACTCGACGAGTGTATGAACAGACTCAGCGAGTCCAAGGCAATCTCCCAATCTTTGAGGATGGACTCGACGAGTTGTTCATACAACTCGGCGAGTCATAGACTGGACACATTTTTATGAGGGAGATGAACTCGACGAGTTCAAGGAGGAACTCGACGAGTCGGATGAAGATGGTCCTGATGGTTTGAATGAAGGAGAACATGTCGAGTTCTTGCTAGACTCGACGAGTGAAGTCGGGGTTGGATCGGGTTAGTGGAGTATGGACTCGACGAGTTGATAAACCAACTCGGCGAGTCAGGTCAACTGGGTGTTGATTTTTGACCAATGTTGACTTGCTTGGTTTAAGTATTGACCCTGGTTAGGGTTGTTTGTTCTGTTTGATGACTTGAGGGTTGTCGTGTAGGGATTGAGGGGTCGAGGAGAGCCGACCTTCACACCGAGGATAGTTCAGACACTACACGACATCGAGGTGAGTTACCTTCCAGTAGAAGTGGGTCTACGGCACCAAGGCCGACCCACTAGTAGTTGTTTAGCTGAGATGATTGTCTTTGTGGTAATTGTCTGGTCTGCTATTGTTTGATATGCGAGTACGCTAGTTTGCTTGATATGTGACTATGCTAGATTGTTATGTTATGTGAGATAGTATCAGTAGGAGGGGACTAGTCCTCGAATCGGTCGTTAGGACCAACGGGTAGGTCGGACACCCCAAATACGTCTGACAGCATGATTGAGATATGATATTATGTGTTAGCAGTAGGGGGTGAAATAGTCCTCGTGTTCAGTTGAAAGACCGGAGGGTAGGTCGGCACCCCATAATAGCCTGACATGGGTAGGTCAGCACCCCAGAATGGCTCGACATGGGTAGGTCAGCACCCCTGAATGGCTCGACATGGGTAGGTCAGCACCCTAGAATGGTTTGACATGGGTAGGACGGGCGCCCCAGAATTGCCCGACAATATATATGCTATGTGATTGTATGGTATGTGGTATGATGGGGGAACTCACTAAGCTTTGTGCTTACAATTTTAGTTTTGGTTTCAGGTACCTCTTCGTCTAAGGGGAAGGAGACGGCGGTGTAGCAGCGCATCACACACACACATGGTTTCCGCATGGAGTTTTCTGGGAATGTACTCTGATTTATTTTACTTTTGACAATATGATTTCCAGACACATTGTTATGTTTCTTTTTACAAATGACATGGCATGGGAAATGTTTTGGTAAACTATGTTGTGGATTACTTAATTAAAAATGAAAATTTTGGGCTTGAAATTTGGGATGTTACAAGTTGGTATCAGAGCCCTGGTTTGAGGGATTCGGACACACCCTCGGGGGTGTCTGGACTCAAACCGAGGGATTAAAAGATTTTTACAAGGAAAATGGTTTTCAAAAAAAAATATGAGTCAAAGGGTTTTGAGGAAGAACGAGGTGTGTGATGTGTGCGACCGGCCGAGCTTGAGTAAGTTTTCCCCAAGATACCCATACTTATTATGATAAGTTATATTATATGTATGATTCTGAGAACTGCATGCTAGATTAGGGCTAAGGATATAGGAGGATGCCTTATATGCCTGATATATATGATTCTGAGAAGTGCATGCTAGAGTAGGGCTAAGGATCTAGGAAGGATGCCTTATATGCCTGTCGTATGAGCTGTATGCTAGGACTGTTTAGTCAGCACTAGGATGGCCTGTATAGGTTATGCCTGAATTGGTTACTCAATGCACGAATGCTGCTTGCTTTGTGATATAAGGGTTCTGGCTAACTTTAACTATCTAGTGAACGAATATGTAACAATATTCGCAAGCTAGATAGGGAAGGATAGCATGACCCCTTGTGCAACTGATGGCGGAGAGTAAGTGTTGGGTTATGAGCATTCTAACACTCCTAAGTGTACATGCAACCCTAAATACCTTGGATCTATGTTTTCTCTATTATACATACAATTATGAACATCCAAGGTATTATCCTAATCTAGCATACAAAATAATAAATATAACAAGATAGAATACATACCTCTTTGATGTAGAATGTCTTCATGAAGCTTGAGTGCCTAGTGCCCCAAGTGTGACACCTCAAATGGTTCACACAACACCAAATACACTTGGAATAACTTGAGAGAAACTTGAACACTCCTTAAAATCGTCTAGCCCTCACACTCACACATTAGTGCACGATTTCTTGAGCCATGGGATTCTTTTATATGGTGGCTATTAGGGTTACACCATGTAACTCATAACTTTACCCATTCCTTATGCTCCATGGATTTTAACCTCCATGGAGTATCCATGGGTCACCCCATGGACTTAGTCCAACATAAGGAATCTTGGATCACAAGCCCACATATATAAGAATGAATGATTTACACAATCAACCCATATATTTAATTAGTCTCCTTTTGATCACTTAATTAATTCCAAATTAATTCTTGATCAATACTAATTAAATAACCTTATTAATATATTAGAACTTATAATATATTAACCAACCTTAAGTGTTATTTCTCTCATTATAGTCTATCCAAATGCATGATGCCATGCAACCCAAATGGACCATGCCGGGTCGGGTCAAGTCTTACCAATTATAGTTATGGACTTAGACATTAATCCAACAGTCTCCCACTTGGATAAGTCTAAAACTATTATTGCGTATGACTTCAGGAACCGATCAGCAATCGTAGCTCTCAAAAGCTTCTGTCGAACTCTGACCTTGTCGATGAACTCTGACCTTTGTCAATGACTTGTCCATTAGATAAGGGATCATATATTCCTCCATTCTAGATATCATATGGACTGAGACATGGATTATCAATCATTCTCTCTGTCCATTTGTTGTTTCCCGATTTCCGATTCATGATGACTGACTGATTGAACAAATCAAATCAGTCCTGGCTTGGCCAAGCACTCACATGTATCATCTTTAAATCATCGAGGGGCCCACATATATCGCTTTTATCCCGAAGGTAAAAGGAATGGATAAACTTCGACTCATATGGCTTGTTCTACTACTTGTTGAATCATACACAAAGGCACGTTTTATAACATCGAGTTACCAATGCGTTTTCGTGCAATCAATGTATAACCAACTCATAGTAACAACTCATATCTCTAGGTTTGAAGAATAT